ATATGTATATGTGTGTATATATATATATATATATATATATATATAGTTTGCCAGTTTTACACACATTTAAATTTTTTTTTATGAATTCAGAAATGCAACCAAAATATAACATGAACATTTAACTGAACTCTGAACATTTTTAGAAATGGATAAATAGTATCCCTATTTTGATATATCCAACAAAATTAGATGCTCTAGTCGTCGGAGAAAAAAAAAATTCAGAAAAATAAGTTTGTTAAAACTGAACAAATATTTGATGACAATTTGACAACTTTTTATAACGGTCAAACAAAATGTGGCTTACATGAAAGCATCAAAATATCTTCAAAATGTGTCTTAAATAAATATTTTTTTTAATTTGTTGCACCAATACAACCTATCAGTCCATATCAATGCACAGTTATACCCCTAATAAGTTCTGCACAATTTTTCTCAAAAATTTTACAATTTTACTTTATAGCCATTGTTCCTTGTGTCCTTTAAAAGACCTCACAGCATTTGTGGGAAATTAAGACTAATACAAACAAAATTAGGATTCTTGATATTAGTTACAGTGTTTATTGAAATTAAATATAAATTTAAAATAATACATTTATTGAAATTGAAATAAAATTATAGCACTGTGGTTTAATGAATGAAACAATTTCAGACCCATGAAAGATTAGGCAAAGCGTTTGAAAATTTCTGCATATTAAACCAAATTTTTCCCCCTTTTTTTCATTTCAAAAGCATCACGAACTAAACAAAGGATTATTTTTATATGCTTTTTATTTCAGCATTTACAAGTCAGTCTTTTGAACACATTTCTCCAACCACTTGTTTTCTTTTTCTTAATAACTGTTTCTGAACCAGTCATGATGAGAAAGACTGAGGAACTTACAGCCAACTACACCAGAGTTAGAGAACAACTGTCCTTTTATGAAGGTGAGCTGTTTGTACTTCAGACCCATGAAAGATTAGGCAAAGAGTTTGACAATTTCTGCATATTAAACCAAACTTTTCTTCATAACTGTTTCTGTACCAGTCATGACAAGACGAGTTCTGCATATTAAACCAAACTTTTTTTTTTTCATTTCAAAAGCATCATGAACTAAACAAAGGATAATTTTTATATGCTTTTTATTTCAGCATTTACAGCTCAGTCTTTGAACTGTGACATGAGCTGGACAACTTTTAATGGAAATGTGTACTTCTTCAGCTGTAATGAACTGAGCTGGTCAAGCAGTCGTGCTTTCTGTGTTTCAAAAGGAGCTGATCTGGTCACCATAACCAGCCTAACAGAACAGGTGAGAAAATTTCAAGTTGGATGTACGTTAAATCAAAGAATTATATGTTTTACCTGTTTAAATCACAATATTCAGAAACAGCATTGCATGTGATGTTTTCTCCATTAGAACTTTCTGGTTTCTAAAATTAAAGCATGGCACTGGATTGGTCTCAATGATCTGAAAACTGAAGGACACTGGGTTTGGGTGAATAACCAAACTCTCAATGAATCTGGAGTACAGTAAGAACTCTGACTACAATTACTTAAGTTAATCAATGTAACAAAAATACATAAAAAAAATTACTTTACCGTATTACCGTTCATCATGATCATAATATTACTGGAACGTTTAAATCTTTGCATAATGGCATGTTTTTTAAAAAAAGCTACAGCATGGTTTTTTACAAAATATTATTGCAGGATAAATATTGTTTTTACTCTGATCGCCTGTTTCTGCTTTTGAAGGTTTTGGCACAAGAGAGAATCTGGGAAAAGTGAACCTGATAACTGGAAAGAAGAGGATCTTACTGGAAAAAACTGTGCAATTATGAAAAATGATTTCAACTATTTAGAAAGTTGGTTTGATGTTTCTTGCAATTATCGGATGAAGTTTATCTGTGAAAAGAAATATTAATTTACCTCCGTCAGTGGTGCTAATATTGATGAGGTCTATTTTGTATATGCACAGAAAACAAGGCTTTTTTGGATTTGCTTACTCATCTCAGAATAAAAATGCTATTCTTTTCTCCAGTGATTATTATTACCTATTATTATGTAATTTATTCTTTTCTCCAGTGATGATTACTATCTATTATTATGTAATTGTTACTAATTATTACAACTACAGACTGTACATGCCAATACAAAAGCATTTTATTTTGATGCCTCACACATCACTCATTTTGCAGTCAACTGAAGTGCTTTAGTATCAGATATGAAACTGCTGTGCACTCAAAAAATATTTTGGCCTAAATATAAATGTATATATTTTTTGAATTGCACATGTCCATCCATTCGGATTACAGTTTTACTAAACGTTATGCATATTTGTCAGTCATGCATAAATGACACTTTCTGCACTCAAAAAATCATGACGTAATTTATAATCAATGATTTGCATGTATTTGATTTTATTTAAATAATCGTTTTCAAAATATATTCAAATAGCAAATCTGTTCATTGTGGAAAGTTTTTTTAAATAATTAATTCAGTTATAAAGTATGAACATGTTTAAAATATGGCTAGCTGTGGAACAAGCAATATGTAGTGTTTGACATCGAAACAAATTGGATTTATTGATGATAAATATAAAAATTATAGTGTATTTAAAGTTTATACTATTACAGAAAGTACTAATATTTATGTATGATTGACAATGCATCACATTCAGTTTGTTTATATGTGTCATTTTTTGAATGTGTTGAGCAGACAAACTTTAAGGATAGTATAAAGACTTGTGTGCTTTATCTAAATGATTAACTGAACGGAAGATAATCTGATCATTTTGCATGTTTTTTTTTTTCTTTCAATTTTTGCATTTTGCACTTTTTTTCTGCCTGTTCAGTTACTTTGTAATTCTCTCTTCTTTTCTTTTCTCCACAAGAGGTCACTAATGCAGTGTCCTCTACAGCTTTATTGATGATAAATTGATTGTGAATTTCCTAATCTGTAAGGCTCTTTAATGAAAAATAAATGACTAAATGTAATTTAGTAATGTTATTATATAACTCTCTGATATTGGTTTGATTGGGTGACACATCTGAAGGGGTGAAAACAGGAAAAGCCTTGTAGAAGAAAATTACTGAGACGAGTAAAGAACAATGCTGCAGAAATCGATCTCTGTAGTTTTATATGCCATTATGTTATGTCATATGTTATGTTATGCTACAAAACACTATTTATTTTTGTTTTCCTTACAAAAATAATAAATAAAAAAATCACTTTAATCTTTTGACAGCCCTATCATAATTTATAGTTTTAAATCATGATTTATAAGTTTAATGAAACAAAATTAGCAAATAAATCCGCACATTTAAACAAAATAAGCCAAATTAAATGTTCTCTCTGTTCCCTACTAAATGTCACTATTGCATTTGTATTTAACATCCCTGCCATCCAGCTGTGGATTAATGAGTAAGTGAGCTGTGGCCTGGATCATTATAAAACTAATTCAACGAGTCAGTGAGGTTTTGAGGTTTCAAGAACCAACTTGAGTGAAACAGTCAATTCAGATTATCAGCTTTGTGGACCAGTTCCACAGTTTCATTAAAAAGATCCTATTCAGAAGAATGATTTGTTCATTACTGACAGTATGTCCGATATAAAACTAATTCAATGAGTCGGTGAGGTTTTGAGGTTTCAAGAACCAATTTGAGTGAAACAGTCGATTCAGATGATCAGCTTTGTGGACCAGTTCCACAGTTTCATTAAAAAGATCCTATTCAGAAGAATGATTTGTTCATTACTGACAGTATGTCCGAAACACCTGTGAGTGGAGTGACAGCATTTTCTCAAAGCATAGCTAAAAAATCCTAGTCAATAAGAAACGTGCTTATATTATATTTATATCACGTATTTTCCCCCTACATTTCTGAAGATATTTTTTAAAGAACAAACTTTTAACAGAAAGTCTTTCATAACTGTAGTTCACTTTCTGAGTTCGAGGTTTTGTAACTTCCTGTATGTTTCCACAGTATCTATTAGTACAGCTACAGATGCACACAACAGCAGTGCTGCTAAATAGTGACAACAGCATCATACACCTTTTGCATCAGTATGTATGTGCAATTAATCATGCATAGCCTATTTATACAGAAAAATATATGTTTGTTTAAATGTTATAGGACATGTGAGTGTTTTTGAGTTGCATATTGCCAGTTAAATATTTATTAAAATGTTAACATTGTGCTTGTAAATGCTGAGATTCAATCATTACATTTGACCTCTAACCACTAATCAAGTTTAATCTGTTCCTCTTCTTCACTTTGTACCCTGCTTGCTTATTTATTTATTTATTGTCTGTACAAATGACTCTTATTACTGTACTAATATGTCTGCGGCTTCTGTGATTCCAGTAAACACTCAACCAACCATCAGGGTCGTGAAATGAAATCAAACTATGAAAATGTTGATTACTTGTCTTCAGCAACAGCTTCAGGTGGAAAATGCTCTCAGTACAGAGGTAAGATATTACTGACATGTTTCAGAATGTTTTTTGTTTAAATGATACCACAGAGTTCAGAAAGGTAAAGTATTGAACACTTTTCTGAGAGAAGAACAGATATCAAGACCATACTAGGAAGATTATCACAGCAGAAAGACCTTTGTGTAAGTACAAACAGCTCACCTACTCTTTGCCTAATCTTTCATGGGTCTGAAGTACAAACAGCTCACCTTCATAAAAGGACAGTTGTTCTCTAACTCTGGTGTAGTTGGCTGTAAGTTCCTCAGTCTTTCTCATCATGACTGGTTCAGAAACAGTTATTAAGAAAAAGAAAACAAGTGGTTGGAGAAATGTGTTCAAAAGACTGACTTGTATTTGCTTAACAAAAAGAAATTAGTTGAATCGAAGCCGGTTCAGAATTAGTAGGCTACACTTTGTCCTAGTAGGTGCATGAGTCTGAACCTAACATAACTCACTATTGTTGATATGGAGATGTTCTCGAACTCTGGTGTAATTGGCTGTAAGTTCCTCAAGCCGTCTTGTCATGACTGGTACAGAAACAGTTATGAAGAAAATGGAA